GGGCACCTCAGACTCGGAAACACGACGCATCGCCAACCTCCCCCGTCCAGCGCAGTGTGGGCGAAATCTCCGGCACGGAGACACGGGGCTAGAGGTTGAGCTGATGCGCCGCGTACCGGACCGCAAACGGCCACAGAAAATGGGGGGCAGCCGCATGGATCATGGAGGTACGAGCGACCTCCATGACTAAGCCAATGCGGCGCTCAGCAACCCCATTCTGCTGCGGAGAGGCCGGAAGCGTGAACGTCTGGCGGATGCCGTGCTCCTCACAGTAGGCTCGCAAGAGGTTGGAGGTGAACTTTCCACCTCTGTCGGAGTGCAGACGTAGGACAGGAAAGTCCGAGTGGAACCGCTCGCGGAGCTGGAGACGAACAGCGCGGATCTAAGGGATCAAAACATCAGGGACATCCCCCTGCGCTGCAAGGGGAAGACCGTGGTGTAACGCGTGTAGTCGTCGACTACCAGCAGGAAGTACCGCTCGTGGCCCTGTCCACGGATGCGGGCTGGGCCCCACACGTCCAGGTGGAGAGTCTGCAGTGGAGCCTCTGTGGGAGGGAACGAGGAGGAGTGAGGAGCGGCACGCTGCCGCCCCTCGACGCAAGGAATGCAGGGCGGCGCAGGCAAGGGAGGGAGGGAGGGCAGAGACCGAGGAAGACCAGAGACCAGGCGGCGAGAGTGCATGCCACGAAGGCGAGGCAGGGAGGGGTGACCAAGGCGGCGGTGCCACAAGAGAGTCTGGTGCGACAGGCTGCGACACTCACACTGGGTAGCTACCTGAGCGGACGTGTCCAGCTGAGGAGACAAAGGGGTGGAGCGCAACGCAGTGGTGAGGGTCTACAGACTGGACCCAGGCGCACGTGTGAACGTGGCTTGGTGACGGCCGGTCCGGGAGCACGTGCAGATCGCCCCACGCTGTCCGCCAGGAGTAAAGGTGTCAACCCAGTGATCCTGAAGGACGGCGTTGCTCACCAAGTTCGTAGAGAACGAGGGGAGGTGGAGACGAGACAGCTTACCAGACGGGACCGCCGGACACGAAAGCACAGTGGAAGACCGTGCAAGCACTGGGCCCCCAGAGGGATCAGCCAGTGAGACAGGGACAGGGGCAGGGAGGGGAGTGACTCTGGTGTTGTCGCGAAAGAAACAGCGGGAAGCACCAGAGTCAAGTGTAAAGGTGTGCAAGGCCTGTCCGGACGCAGTACCAGGGAGAGCAGGCTCACTAGCACCTAGAGCTGCAGAACACAAGTAGCAGTCACCCTCAGCACTAACAGTCAATGCATACATGGCAGCAAGAATAGCATCATAGTCAAGATCAAAGATATGTACATCACGCCTAAGCAAATCTGCCCAGTTGGGGAACTCAGTAGCATCAGGAAACTTGAGGTGTCGCTAAGTCGAGCGAAGTAGCGGTACTCAGTGTGAAAGCCGGTGCACTGGCGACCAGCGTAGGGACCTGCGCGAATGATATAGGGGCAGCGACTAGGACCCCCAGACGCCCCACGCCCGGCATACCAGTCAAGAAGCTGCTGGGAAGTGGGGGTCTCGCGCTGACGCTGCTGCGGCTGCTGCTGGTGCTGCTGGTGCTGCTGCTGCTGCTGCTGCTGCCCCTGGCCACCACTGGTGTCACCCAAGCCCCCACCACCGCCGCCACCACCACTCCCCCCTCCGCCACCACCGCCGCCGCCACCGCCACTGCTCCCGGCACCACCACCGCCCCCACCACCACCTCCACCCGCACGACCACCCCCACCACCTCCACCTCCCCCGCCGCCTCCACCACCGCCCCCTCCACCGCCACGTCCGCCACCCCTGCCTCCCCTGGAGCCGCTGCGCTTCCCACTAGGAGCGGAAGCAGCTGCGACCTTCTCAGCACCAAGGAGGTCGATAGCAGCAGCTGCGGAGGCGTAGGAGGGGGTAAGAGGGGAGGGGGAGCACCCCTCAAAGAGGGGAGTGCGAGGAGTACCACGAGCAGCACCTACAGCGAGGATGTTCTTCTCTACTGCTAGGAGGTGCTTCTCGAAGTCGGCGACAGTGAGAGTGGTAGGGTCTAGGGCTAGGAAGTGGTCCCTGATGGAGCTAAGAGTGTCAGGGAGGCGAGTGACGAGGAAATAGAGAGTGAAGTACATCGGGGGGGGGGGTTCTCGGCGCAGAACTCGACTGGAAGGGCGGCACGAAAGCGAGTGTCACTAGCGCGAAGGTGAGAATTGAGGTCCTCAGCAGTGGTTAATGAGGACACGTCTGGGAACAGATAGGGTAGCATGAGCCGACCTAGGGCTGCAGTGGCCGGGGAGGAGTAGCGCGCAACTACAGCGTCATACAGTGCCTTAGCAGTTTTGTGCTGGCTAAAATGCGCGCGCTCAGTGATCGGCAGATGATTTCGAATAGCTAGGCGTGCAGCAGCATCGCGAGTCTGCCACTGTGAGCGTTCGAGAGCGGTAGCATCGTCAGCAGGAGCAACGGCAGTGCCAGACGCATAATCGAACAGTGAAACGCCGTCTTTGGCATTAGTCAGAAGAAACAGTTGGAGATCGTCTAGCCACGTGGTAAACTCTATCGGGCGACCGTCAGGCTCAAACGCGATAACATTAAGTGTCGCCATAATCGTAGTGCAGGCAAAGGCAGTAGGCAAAGGCAGTAGGCAGCAGGCAGCACGAAAAGGGCACGAGCAGCAAGGGCGGAGGAAGGGCAGTACGAGGGCTGCTCGGGCAGTACGAGGGCTACTAAGGCAGCACGAGGGCTACTAAGGCAGCACGAGGACTGTTAAGGCAGTGGGAGGGCTGCTAAGGCAGCACGAGGGCTGTTAAGGCAGTGGGAGGGCTGTTAAGGCAGCACGAGGGCTGTTAAGGCAGTGGGAGGGCAGTACGAGCACTGCTTAAGGCAGTGGGAGGGCAGTGCGTGGGGCTGGCGAGGCAGCGGGCGGGCTGTGCGGGCGTCGCACGGTGCTGACGAGGCAGCGGGCTGGCTGCGCGCTCGCGGGTCAGTACAAGCAGCGCGAGGGCTGAGAGGCGGCGCGCGGGGCAGTAGAAGGCAGCGCGAGGGCTGCGGAGCGGCGCGCGGGGCAGGAGAAGGCAGCGCAAGGGCTGCGGGGCGGCGCGCGGGGCAGGAGAAGGCAGCGCGAGGGCTGCGGGGCGGCGCGCGGGGCAGGAGAAGGCAGCGCGAGGGCTGCGGGGCGGCGCGCGGGCCTGACGAGGCAGCTAGCGAGCTACGCGCGGGGCTGACGAGGCAGCAGGCGGGCTGCTAGCGGGCTGTACGAGGGCCAGCAGAGGCGAGCGCGAGGGCTGCGCGACTCAGGGCAGTGTAGGCAAGGGGCGGGGTAACGCGGTAATCGGCAGAAAACGGTTGGTGGGCCCTGAAAAACAGTCCTAAAACGGTCCTAATGACCTATGTTGCTCTTAATACCATGTCGAGAGTAAAGGGAATGGTGGTTGCACTATCGAGAAAGTTGGGTACAAGTAACAAAACCTATACCCTACATTAGCTACCCCACTAAAGCCTACATTTTATTATGACATAGACATATAGTTTGACACTATCCTCCCTTCGCCGCCTCTTCCTTGCTAGCAACTACCTAGAGCACCTGCCCAGTGGGATTTCGAAGCTGTCGCGCCTCGAAGAGCTCACCATTCATTCGTGCCATAGTCTGGAAACCCTGCCCCCGGGGTTTGGCTGCCTGGCAGCCTTGAAGAAGCTGAGTATCCGCGGTGGATCGAGGGATTATCTGCCTGACACGCTGGCCGGCTTATCCTCCCTCGAGGAGGTCTCCTTGGTTCATTGTTCCAACAGATTTCGCCTGCCTCCCTCCTTCTGCCCCCTCCCTCGCCTGCGCACGCTCACTCTCACCAGCTGCAATGATCTCACCACCCTGCCTTGCAACTTCTGCTCTCTATCCTCCCTGCAGTGTCTCTCTGTCGACTCGTGCAACACGTTTCACCATCTGCCCGAATCTTTCTCCGCTCTTCCCTCCCTGACAACTCTCAGCATCTCCAACTGCCCGGAATTCTCCTCCCTTCCTGAGACCTTTGGCTTGCTGCGCCGTTTAACTCACCTCGTTATCATCGAATGCGACTCCTTCACGCACCTTCCCAGCTCCTTCTCCTCACTGCCTGCCCTCCGAGTGGCCTGCTTCAGCCTCTGCAAGCACCTGCTCTCCCTCCCGCCCACCGTAGGCCTGCTGCCGCGCTTCAGTTGAGGGAGTGTGTTGCACTCAATTGTTTACCGGAGTCACTCAGAGAGGCGAGGGTGCTGAGGCACGTGGATGTGTATGGTAGTGGGGTGGCAGAGGAAGGGGTGGAGGTGGGCGTTTGTGCGAGTAAAGTGCATGTTGTGAGGGGGAGGATGGGTAAGGCCGAATATGTGGGGACAAAGGACAAGGGGAGGGGAGGGATGATGTGCAGATGTGAAACTGGAGTGATAGCATTGGATCGGCATCCAATAACACAAGGTACTACTACACACTGCTCTGTTTATATTACCCGAAATAAAGCTTCTCAGAAAGCATGTACGGTACTACACCCTTCCAACCAAACACGTTAGCATACATGTGTCCTTACTGGTACGGGTATCTCCGGGGAGATGGTTCAAAGAAAGTGACAGGATGATTATAAAAGGTGATTTCTTGCTAGGCTAAGCCGGGATGTCGGGTAAATGAGACTCAATAGGTTTGAGAGTGGTGCGGGGCGGTTCTGGGATGGTTTGGGACGAGATTGTGAGCTGATGTGTGACCCTCTCATTGTCCTCGTTTAAAGGAAGACTACAGTTAGGAATTCCAATTCCTTACATCCATGCTGGCGTCCGATTGTGTTGCTCTGGTAGAGGAAGTGCTAAAACAGATGGGATGATCATTATACCATACCATTGTAATTTAATACTGGTTGTAGAGTGATGCAGATGCCCTTAAATGAATGAAAGAACACGAGGACAACTCACCCACTTATCCCCACACCCACTCCCGTTCCCCTTGCCCCACCCTTCTCCCACCACCACAGAAGTCAACACAACACCCATCACCACCTCCTCCCCCCTCGGCCCTTGACCGGCTCCTGCCTCTGCTGCTGTTGCTGGTACCCTTTGATCTGATCCCGCCCCGCCTCTCGAATGCCCGCCACTTTCCTCAAACCCATCTTGCCCAGCAACCTGGGCTCAATAGCCGGCTGCTCAGGGCATTGCATGAGTTCTGCAAACTCGTTCCCTGTGGCCACAAGCATCTGAGGCGTCCACTTGAGCAGCCTGAGGTTGGAGTTGTAGTAGCCTAGGAAGGCCACGTATGCTTGGTCCTTGGCTGCTGTCTCCACTCTGGAAAGAGCCTCGTTGAGCTGCAGGGAGGCGGGGGAAGGGGAGAGTGGGAGGGAGAGAGAGGGAGGTGAGTGGAGGAGAAATCCGGCTTTCGAAAAGAGAGGAGGGACAGAGGAAATGGGTAGGAAGGGGAAGGGTCGAGAGGAGGCAGAAGGGACGACCAGTAAGAAGAATCCGTGCATGCAATGTAGCAAAAGGAGGGTCCCCCATGTGTGCTCATCAGTGCAGGCACAAAAAGTGGCCTGAGGCACAATGTATAAGCTGAGAATCTGAGCCCCCCTTGCCCACGCTCAGTCCACTCCAACCTCTCATCTCGTCTTCCAACCCACACGCTCATCACTTGCCCCCCACAAAAAACAGTCACCCATGTGCCTCACCTTGTGCTCGTTCTGCGCACTAAGCGGGTCCAGCGGCTTGTGCGGTGTGATGGGCAGCCCTGCTAGCTTGGGCAGGAAGGGCTTCTCCCACGGCGACAGCAGCAGCACGCCGTGCCCCTCCTTGCCCGCCCTGCCCGTGCGCCCCAGGCGATGGATGTACTGCGCTCGGTCCGCGGGCAGACCCACCTGGGGGGGGAGGGGGAGGGGGAGGGAGCGGGAAACAGGGAATGTAGAGGAGTTGGGAAAGCAAGGGGACGGGGGTGAGAAGTGGTGGCATGTGTGAGTCACACTGCCGTGCGCCCCAGGAGGTGGATGTACTGCGCTCGGTCCGCGGGCAGACCCACCTGTGGGGAGGGGATAAGGGGGAGGGATTGAGGGGGTTGGGAAAGCAAGGGGATGGGGGTGAGAAGGCGCGGGTGGTGTGTTTGTGTGTGGCAGTGCAGTGCGCCCCAGGCGGTGGATGTACTGCGCTCGGTCCGCGGGTAGACCCACCTGCCAAGGGGGGGAACGGGTGGGAGATCGGGGAAAGGGAAAAGGGGGAAGGGGAAGGGGGAGGGTGAAGGGGGAGGGATGTGCTTTGGGTGAATAAGTGGGGGAGGTTGGTTTTGCGACGTTGAGCGAGGGTCGATGGGAGGGATTGCAGTCTAAAATTTGAATTTCAAAATGGTGTTGGGTTGGGTGCTGCTGTGCGAAATCGAGGTAACAGTTCCCGACAAGATTGTCGCAAACTATTTCCAAAATGGTTTTTACGGGCTACCCGAGCGTATTTTAGCACTTTCCAAGCGCATTTTGTATTTCGTATATTCGCTGGTGTATGTACGCGATACGCCCCCACCCCCCAGCACGTTTCTGCCAACATAGCCCACCACCCCACCATCCCCCCCCAACCCAGAACCCCACCAACCTGCACCCACACGCACCTGCAGCACCAAGGAAACATCCGGATAGTCAACCCCACGAGCAGACACGTCACTGGTGAACATCACGACCCGCCCCTTGGCCGCTCGAAACTCCCCCGACACGCGCGTGCGGTGCGCCTGCGACTTGCGCGAGTGGATCTCGAGGATGGTGGCGCCGGGGAGGAGCGAGGCGAAGAGCGCCGCGTAGAATGCTGTCATTTTGGCTGTCACTGAGAACACCAGCACCTGGTGGGGAAGGGGAGGAGAAGGAGGGGGGGAAGTGGGAAGGGAGAGGGGAGAGGACGGGAAAGGGGAATGGAGAGGGGAGAGGAGGGGAGGGGATGGGTATGCGGTCATGTGGTCCTCTGCTGCTCATTGTGGCCATGGTGCAGATGGCAGGTAAGGCTCATGTGGCGACGCGAGATGGACCGGCTGAGGGCTGGTGGGGAGGCATATAACATGCATGCATCCATGCATTCACCGTTGATCAATGAATGTGCATGCTAGAGCTTTGTCAGAAGCAGAGACGAGCAGACATGTAAAGGGTACCATGCATGAGAGAAAATGATAATTCGTGCCACAAGCATGAATCAGTGTGCAGCAGCAGCTTCATGTGAACCCAGGCACACAGGCACGAACGCAGGCAAGCACGCACGCAACGAACATACGCGCACGCGCAACACACATACTGGTGGCCAGGTCTGCTAGCGCTGGTCAAGAATGCTTGCTTGCACGCATCACCCCACACCCACATCCATGTGTCATCGGCACAGTGAGACCTCGGCCCTACCTTGCAATCAGCAGCAGCTTGGAAATCACCCTAGCCTGCAATGAATGAGGCGTACCTTGTAATCGGGCTGCTCCTGGCAGTGGTGCAGCAGCAGCGTGTACATGGCTGTGAGCTGCTCCTCCAGTGGAACCACCAGGTGCTCCTGCCTCACCTTTGAAGAAACCCTACCTTACAATCAACTGTACCTTGCAGTGGATCAAGCTTACCTTGTAATCGGGCTGTTCCTGGCAGTGCTGTAGCAGCAGCGTGTACATGGTCGTGAGCTGCTCCTCCAGTGGCACCACCAGGTGCTCCTGCCTCACCTGAGCCACATGCACAGGGCGAGAGCGCGAGAGAGAGGGGGGGAGAGACAAGCACACACGCACGCGCATGCAAGCACACGCACGGACGGCAGGGGGATGCATATACGCCACGTGGCGTCACAAGGCAGAAAAGGGATGGCGTGAGAGGGAGAATGGGTTGGCGTGAGTAAAAGGGCAAGGGAGGCATGGCTGCAGAGGGCGAGTTGGAACGTGGAGAGAGTGTGCGGGTGGGAGAGAGAGTGTAGGTGCGAGTGAGAAGGTAACAAGGGGTTGTTAGCGAGAGAGGGCGACTGACCTGGATGTTGGTATCGGCGTCCTCCTCTCCCACCACGTCCACGTGCTTGAACTCCCGCCTCAACACCTGCTTCGACATCGCTTGCACCTGATGATGCCACATGCACGCACGCACAATCGCATACCCGTACACAGTCACGTTCGTTCACACACAGAGACACGTTCACACACAAACGGACGGTGGTGGAAGGGACACACTTCAATTAGGTTAGGATCGCGTCTGCAGAAGCGGCTCGAAAGCTCCAGCCCACTCCTTCTCCAAAGCCCCAAGCTCATGCTAAACCCACTCCACCTTTCCCCTCTCAAACCCCCTCCGTTTTCCCTCGCCCGCAGCCTCATTCCCCGCCCCCTTCTACCCTCTCTCCCTCCCTCCTCCCACCTCTCCCCCTCCCCTCCCCTCTCCCGGTTTCCCCTCCTCTCCGCCCGTGTACAAGCCCTGAGCAGCGCACCTGAGTGGGCATGGTGGCGGAGAAGAGCAGCGTCTGGCGGGCGGAGGGCAGATACGACATGATGGCCTGCAGGTCCTTGGCGAACCCCATGTCCAACATGCGGTCTGCCTCGTCCAGTACCAGCACCTGAGGGGGAGGGAGAGAGAGAGGGGTGGGGGGTGGTGGGAGGAGAGAGACGATAAGGGGGGAGGAGGGAGGGGGGGGTGTGCGGAGGAAATGAGGGGACAGGAGGCAAGCCGGGCACGAGCAGAATCGTGTGTACAACAAAGATGAGGAACGAAGGGGGGGAGAAGGGCGAAGCGAGGGAGGATTCGTGGGTGGAGTGGAGGAGACAGGGAGAGGGAAGTTGAGAGGGCAGGAGGCGGAGCGGCAAAAGGACTAAGAAGCTGAGGCACGAGCACGACACCACTAGCAAGCAGTTCATCCTTCCCTTATCTCGCCTCATCTCACCCCCTGAACCACTCATCTCACTCACCCCCTCCCTCAACTCCCTCATCTCACTCCCTCCCTCAACCCCCTCATCTCATCCCCCTCCCTCACTCGCCTCCTCTCTTTCCCCCGTCACAGCCATGCGTGGCAACGTAGAGGGCAGAGGGGGCAGGCAGGGCAGACGGCATGCAGGCACTGACCTGCACGTCTTGCACGCGCTCCTGCATGCCTTGCGTGTTCTTCAGATGGTCCAACAACCGCCCTGGCGTTGCTATCAGCAGCTGCCGCGGGGACGGCAGGGCGAGCGGGGGAACGAGGGCACAGGGGGCGAGGGGCGCCGGAGCGACGCGAGCACGCGGGGAGAGACGAGAGGGGGAAAACAGGGACGGGGGGAAGGGGCGGGGAGGGCATGGAAGGGCGTCGGGAGAGGAGGGGAGGAGAGGTGGGGGGAAGATAAGTTAATGATACGAGCAGAGCGGTTTGGCAGGAACAGCGGTGGGGGTTAGCGTGGCATGGGATGGGAGCAACAGTTCGCATTGAGGCGTTGAACAGGTGCGCGTGATATCCTTCCCTCGCTCGAAATCACAGCAGCCCCAACCCAGCCACGCCCCCAGCAGCAGTGGGTGGCACCAACGTCCTGACCTGAACCATTCCTCCTTTCTTCTTCACTTCAGACATCCTCATCCTCATCCTCATCCTCACCCTCACCCTCACCACACGCAACCCCCGTCCTGCACCGTCTCCCTTGCCTTGCCCCTGCCAATCCTTCGTTTCCCCTTCCCGCCCTTCCCTGCACCACCCATGCCAATCGTTGCCTCTGCGCCTCGTCAACCCAATACAGGCACAACACAACACGACCTGTCAGTCACACAAGGCGACTATAACGGGCTCGCTCACTTTGTAGCAGCACCGCATTCCCACCCTTCTCACCACCTCAACACCCCCAAGTGTTCCCCCTCCTTTTTAAACCCACCAACCAACCCCCCCTCTCTCCCCTCTCCCCCCTCCCCTTCCTCCATTCCCCTCCCCCTCCCCCTCCCCCTCCCCCCCCCCTCCCCCTCCCCGCCCCCCACACCCTTCCCCCCCGCGCACCTGGCAAGGGGAGTTCTCCATGCGGCGGATCTCTTTCCCCATGGCCGTTCCGCCGAACACCACCTGCACGCCCACGCCCCCCTGCCCCTGCAGCAGCTGCTGCGCCTCCGCCTGCACCTGCGCCGCCAGCTCGCGCGCGGGCACCAGCACCAGCACGCGCACTGCTGTTCCGCCCTGGAAGAAGCGCGGGGAGGGCGGCCCGCGCAGGAGCCTATCGATTGTGGGCACCTGGGGGAGTGGCGGCGGTTGGAGCGGGCGCAGGGCGGGGGGAGGGGGAGGACGGGGGCGGGGGGTGGGGGAAGGGGGGGAAGAGGATTTGGAGGGGTTCGAAGCGACTTAAACGGGAAGGGTTTGGGGAAGCAGCGGCATTTAGATCGTCTGACAAGCAAAGTAGGTAAAGCTCAAAAGAGGGTATAGCCGAAACTAGAGTATATAGAGTGCAGAAGGAATGAAGGAACGGGCGAGGGAACGGGTTCACGGGGTGGATACGGAAGGGAGAGGAAGGAAGCAGGGGCGGCGGGGATGAAAAGGCAAGGCAAATGTAGGCGCGAGGAGAACGTGGTGTTTTGGTAAGACGTGGTCAGGTCAGGTGATGGTGGAGAGGAGGGGAGTTGAGTGAGTGTGAGAGAATGGACGACGGACGGTTGGTGAGGGAATGATACGGCAGAGGGGCGGAGGAAATCGCAGATGCACGAGAACGTGATTTTTGTAGAGAGAGAAAAAAAAAAAAAAAAAAACGTGAGCCTCATAGAGGGGGTGGGTGGGCGGGTAGGTGGGGGGTGAGGGGACGAGAGGGGCAGAGGGATGACTGTTGAGTGGACTCAACAAGGGACGGGACACATGTAGCAGCTGTGCTGAGAATGGGAAGGAGGAGGCGAAATGCGCGATGCGGACTTGCCCAGGCGAATGCGGTGACGGGAGAGGAGAAAAGAAGGCGAGAAGGCGGGGGGAGAGAAGGTCGAGAAGAGGAAGGGAGGGGGTGATGGAGGAGAGAGCGGGGGGGGGGGGGAGAGAAGGGCGAAAGAGGGCGGAGGGGAGGGCGAGAGGGGTGGGAGGGGGCAGGGCGAGAGCAGTGGGTGGAACTGACGAGAAAGGCAATGGTCTTTCCGCTGCCTGTCTTGGCCTTGGCCAGCAGATCCATGCCTGATGGCCGGTCGTGGTTGCACCCGCACAGGCGCGTCGAGGGGAGGAAGAGGGGGGAAGGGAGGGGAACGCAGGGTGGAGAGAGAGAAGGTTGTGGGGGGCGGGGGGTTGGGGGTGTAAGAGAGCGAGAACAGTGCATAGCTGTGTGCGTGACTGAGAGGGAGAAGGAGGGCGGGAGAGCAGAGAAGGAGACTCGGGAGAATCGAGTGTGTGTGCAGACAGACACATCAGAGAGACACTTCAGGCGCAGGGGAAGGGGCGCAGGGGAAGGGGCGCAGGGGAAGGGGCGCAGGGGAAGGGGCGCAGGGGAAGGGGCGCAGGGTGAAGGGGCGCAGGGTGAAGGGGCGTACCGTTGAGTACGGGCAGCATGGTCTCCGCCTGCACCTTGGTGCAGAGCTGGAACCCAAAACCCTGCTGCACCGCCGCGAGCATCTGCGCCGACAGCGGGAACGAGTCGAACCTGCGCGTACAAGGAGGGCGCGGGGGGGGAGGGGCAGCGGGGAGGGTTTAAGGGGGAGGGCGCGGGGAGTTGATGGGATGAAGTGGAGTGGTACAGGGTTTATGGGTGGAAGTGGGAAGCAGGGCAACGGGGACGACTGGAACAGCGGCTGTGCTGAGGTAATTAGAATGTCGGGCACGTGAACGTTGGAGGGAGGGAGAGAGGATAATGTGGGACGGGGATTGATGGAGGGTAAGGATTTCAGAAAGAGAAGACGGAAAAAATAAACGGGAATTCGGAAGGTAAGGAGAGATTAAAGAGCAGCGCACGGGTCATGAAGTACTGGCGTTGCACCTTCCCAGCCCCGAACCCGACAACCAGCACCTCTCTGTAATAAACCCACTCTTCCTGCTCCCACACACCCCATTCCTCTTCGCCCTGCGCTCCCTCCCCCATTGCGGCAGCAGAAACAATAGCACAGACTCACAGGCACACAGCGCATCGCACACCGCGCAACGCACGCAGCGAGCTCACCTGACGTCAGTGATGACGGATTTGATCGCCTCTAAATCCACCTCTCGAATCGGCTGCACCACCGCTGCTTGCTGGTGCTGGTGGTGGTGGTGGTGGCGGTGGTGGCCGTGCTGCTGCTGCTGCTGCTGCTGCTGCTGCTGCTGCGGCTGCGCCACCTCCCTCGAACCTGCGCTCGTTTGCTGCGGCTTCCGCCTCCCCCTCCTACCGCCACGGCCACCTTCGCCACCTGCGCCGCCACCAGCGCCGCCACTCGCGGCAGCAGCGCCGCCACCGCTGGGCATACCTTGCCTCGTCTGCGCGGCAACCCCAGCAGTCGCAGCGCCGGCGGTACCGGCGCCGGTGATACCGGCGGCGGCGGCGGCGGCGACGGGTGTCCCCATCCCTGCAGGCCCCACGCCTGTTGCTCGCACGATCTGCCTCACCCGTGGCTTTTTCGCGTGACCGGACTGTACGGAGGGCTTTGCGGCGCCGCTGGCGGGTCCGGCATCCATGGAGAGAGTGCGCTTTAAGACGGTGAGCGGGGGGGTGAGGGTTTTAGCGGTCGGCGCGGGGGCAGGGGCCATGGAGGTGCAGAAATGCACGCCGCGACTTGCGGCGGAAGGTGCGCTGGCAAGGGATGGAAACCCCTTGCAGATGGTCTGCCTGTGGTGCATAGAATGGCGGGGTGTGGAAAGGTGTGCATAGAGATGGGGATGGGGAATGTGTGGAGTGGGGGATATTATGGGATTGGTATGAAGATATAGGAAGGGAAATACGGGAAGGGAAAGTGGGGACGAGGGGGAGGGGGGGGAGGGGGGGGGGGGGGGGGGGGAGAGGGGGGGAGGAGAAGGGGAGTTTAAGGTGATTGAAGGGAGTTAAGGAGGGGGATGGCAGGGAGAAGAAGAGTGTGAGATGGGCTAAATGTTTTCGAAACGGAGAAAAAGGAGATGAAAACCCAACCCCTTAACCTTGGAAGCAGAGGAGAGGGCTGAGAATGACGGGAATTCAGAGAGTAAGAGAGATTTCAGCGGATGGAGAGTGATACAGACGATCGAGGTTGCGAGGCAGCAGACAGAAGGGACGGAGTTAGTAAGTTCCGACGAAAGATCAGAGTTGCGAAGAGGAGATGGAACCCAAAGACCTGATCTTAAAACCCTTCGAGACCCTAAACCTAGAGGTTCAAACCGTCACACCAAGCTTTTTAAAGCACGGATTATCATGCGCGAAACATATAGAAGCGTGTTTCTAGGATTTCTTTGGTCGAATCTAAGGGCAAGGATTATCATGCGATGCGCGTGGCAAATGCTGGACGGAAAGGACGAACCGAGAGAGGCGAGCGAGAAAGGAAGGGAGGAAGCGCGAAGTCATGAACTCGCGTCACCGACTCTCTCTCTGAAGCGAACAGCAAAACTTTATGCTCTTTTCTCTTGCAGCGAATATCAGTCTAGTATTTCAGAAGCAAGAATTGCGGCCAGGCGAATGGACGGAATCGAGAATCGCGATTTGCCTGCACTCCGTAGAGGAACCAGTTTGTATCTATCACCGATCCGCTAAAGCGCGGAAAGCAAAGAATCACTGGGTGGACTTGAGATCTCCTCTATGAACGTCAGTATTCCTATTACCAGCTCACCTCTCCACAGCTGGCGTTGAGTCGAGCGTCGAAGCTCCAACCCAGATCAGTTGGGAAAAGAGTGGAGCCGAAGGAGATTTATTGACAACGGGAGTTGTGCGACGAGTAACCCCTGAAGGTGTGCGAATCAACGGTTACGAAAAAGATTTTACTATTTGTTAAACAGAGTTCGCCATTTATAACAGATAACAAAAGACGTGATTGTCTGAACGGACAACACAATGGAGGTTGCGAGACAATATAGCAAGAACCCAAGCTAGGCGGGTAGCTCATGTTACGAATAGTAATGACTGAACATCACAAGTGCACTCCTCACCGCAGCTAAGGAAACACGCAGTAACGAGAACGAATACGAGGAGTCGGCATTGACTCGAAACGTCAGACGGTTAGCGTGGATCTGGACCGTCGGAGCAGACAGCATCAAGCAGCTGCAGTCAGGAGGAATTGGGCGGGAACAGTTTTCGTAACTGTACGCGCCGCACGGTTGGGAATCAATTTGAATAAGGGAATATACCCCTTAGGGTACATGGCTAGCTAGGTCGATACACATTCCACTGTACTCTAATTTATATCGCTGTATTTGCATGCTTTAATTCATCTCAAGCATCTTACATTCACTCTGCTATTGAGATCAAGGGCCCACCTAATCTACCTATTGTGAGAAATGAGAATGAATGAACAAAGAAACTGTTGGGTTGTAAGGAATTACAATTCCGTACTGTACTCGCACTTTAGCGAGTACATCCCGAGGGTCACGCGCCGAACCTGCTCAACCTATTTCGTCGGCCGAACCACTCCCGAGTCGGCCTCCGCTCCAATCGCAACCATCACCGAGCCATCTTCGCCCTACCTCACCGCCTAGCTAGGCTTTCCCCTATTTAGGACTCGCTACTTCATTGTTTCTTCATTCTGTAATTCTCATTCTCGTTATTCGATATTCTGCGCACTCTGCAAGTTCATTCATATCACCTGGTATTAGAGCTACTTTCCTAGCTCACCCCGCTTTCTAAAGTGTAATACCCCTCGGGGGGGGGACGAGGAAGGATGTCCTGGGGTCCAGGAGTTGCCTAGGCCGGCCAAGAGAACGGGTTAGTTGCTCTTCGCGGCCATGGATTTATCGTGCACTTCTCGGCACCGCCGGATCCTTGCCTTCGACGGTCGCGATCGACCGTGGCCTCCCGCCCCGGGCAACGGGCAGCAGTAGCTGTCGCGACATTAAAGTGAGTAATTTCCGCAGCGATTTCCGACGATTTCGGAGGTTGATTCGTGTGGCAGCTGGCGTCAGCGGACCTGCGTCGGCATCTGCATGAACAGCCTCGACGTCGTCACTGTGTGTGGCTGTTGACGGCGGCGGACCTGAGTCAACGGCTGCGCGACGATTTCGGGATCGTCCTCATGCGACAAGTGACGTCGGTGGCACACGTTAACATGTGCGCGAGATTTTCGGGAGATCCTTCGGCAGCTGGCGACAAGAGACGTGCGTCACTGTGGGCGACAATTTCGGATCTGCTGTGAAGAAAAAGTCGGCTGGGGAACTCGCCAGGCGCAAATGAAGTTTGCGTCTGAAAAAGCTGGTGACGAGGAGAGACGCCACGAGGACTGTCCGATTTATGCGGGAGTCAACTGACGTCCCGCCCGACCTGTTAAGTGCAGCGGCCTTTACTGCATTGGCGGGCGCGTCATCAACGTTTTCGGCAGAAGTGCACGTGGACAGACGGGATTTTCGGACCCGCCGACACTTACGGGTTGCAACGAAAAGCGGAGTGGCCATATCGCACTTAGCAGAAGTGGGGCGCAGGCAACGAGGGAAACCGGGGCCGGTAACCTCGGAAAACGACTCGTGCGACGCTGCGTGCCTGGAGTTGTTGCAAGCTGGCCGGCAGTTTCGAGAGCGGTTTCTCCTACCAGGGAAGCCGTTTTCGGGGAGCTGCGAACGACCCACGATTAAACGGCGTTCAACGTACTGCCCCGACATTTACGGAGGAGTCGGTACCGGCCGCCGGGACACACGGGAAGAAACTGCCCGACGGCTAAGCGGGGGTCGAGACGGCGTGAAGGGCAGGTTAAAAGCCGGTGTGAACGGCCTGTGACCTTCCGTCGCCCGAACCTCACCATCCCCATCAAGTCGTAGTTCTGACTCATGCAGTCAACTTCCTTGGCCGAATCACGGGGGTGAACACGAGGCCTACCCTGCGCTGGTTAAAAGCACCTGGATTGGTGCCCGTTCGACAGTTGTACAGAAAAATACAAAAAAATGGAGTTGCGGCACTGTTCTACTCCGACAAAAGCGGGCTGGGTGAAACAACACGCGAACAAATCGGGGCGCCGCAAGAATACACTGGTGCAGTTTACAGGTTTCCTCTGACCCGAGCGTCTACACGAGGTGACGGCGCAGCGGCGAAGCAGGGACCAGGAGCTGCGGAGTTTAGTGGCGTGACGGTTGGCGGTAGGCTGCAAAACGGTTGGGCGACTGTTCCTTTTAATTAAGGGTCCCCGACTACGAAATTTTTGCCCTCCACCGTAGCCGGGTTCGTGCGGGGCAACACCGACTATACCCCATCCGACAAAAGCGGACGCTGGGTGAAGGCGGGAGGCGGAATTGTCGGGGGGCGAAACGGCAAAAAACAAATTATGAAGCTGCGGGTATTTCTTCGCTTCTTGGAGGGCGGTTGAGCCGTTGGGGGACTTCGCCTGAAGGGCACTTATCGAAGTTGCCTGGCAAGAAACACAGCGGCAAGGAGACCTAGGACCCCCGGTGTTTAAACGTACATCTCGGGAAATTCTTCAGAAAAAAGGGAGCGTGGGAGCAGTCGTAGCTTCGGGAACTATTCGACCGGCGACGAGCGATGCGGTGAAATATCTGCAAAGCGCTGGTGGGAGAAACGTGGGTTTTTGTTAAACAGCATCGGCGGGCGCAGTTTCGACGACGGAGTCAACGGCGTTGATGCCTCTAGGTTCCGTGAAATTCGGTCTCGGAATAGCCCAGGGCAGTCCCCGGTTCTCGATTGAACCCACATGCTGGGGTCGGGTAACCGACGGAAACTGATGGTGACCGAGTGGGCGGCTATAGCACGTCCGAGATTTTCGGAGGCGAACTGCACCTACAACTGCGGATTTACGGGGTTTGATTCGAGCGACGATTTCGGAGTTTTACGTGTGGAATTACCTGTTTTACGGCAAGGAGCGCCGACAATTTCGGAGGAGTCTGTGGCGTTTGGTTAAACGCGCGCAACAACGATGCAGGACAACATTGTTGGAACTACACGGAATTTTCAAGGGGTACGAACGACTTACGACGAACTGAAGAAGGCGGCATCAACAGTGAAGAGGGGAAAAGAGACAGCTGCAATTTTTCATCTCTGCCCAGGAGCCCTCGGCGCACGACGACAATTCTCTCGGAGAGTCTGGACAAAACCGCTGGAGGTGCTGACATCATCTGATACTGGATCGCGTTCGACAATTTCGACCGGAGTGACATTCAATTTGGTTACTGCTGCAACGACTATCGCCATCGCTCGTATTCGACTAATCGCCTCTGTGATCGAGTTTTCGCCTACCCCTGATTTCACGGCCAGAGGATTTCAGGACACTGCGTTCCAACTTTACTAACGACAACCCGCTCAACTCGACCCGCCCACGACAAACAAGTTACATTCGCCACGTCAGGTGCTG